TTTTTTCAACCAATAAAAACCCATCCCGAAACCTCAGACCGACAAATCGGAGAAGAGTTTAACCGATGCATAACGAAGGCCGTTTTTGTATGCAAGCGACGCCACAACAATAAGGCTCCATAAAATACCGCAAAGTTGGATATCTAACGACAGACTTTTATCCCGGCGCTGATTGGACGGAAACCGGAAGCATTCAACCATTAGACGTGCTCCGGTCTTCCTGACATCCGTAACCCCTCGTTATCTTTTCCCTCCATCGATCTTAGAACTCCAGGTAAGCCAGAGATAGCTGTCTTTTCCATGAATATATTCCGAAGCAGACATGACCTTTAGGCATTGAGCAAACATCATAGTACTTCGCCACCTTTTTCATCTCGAGGAGGATAAAAATTCTTCTCGCGGGGTTCGAAATTGACAGAGGAGGATGGGATCTTCGTCCGTAAATTAAGGAAGAAAGTTGATAAATTCAATTCTCGCTTGGCGTTGGATTGGAGGATGGGGATGAAAAATTTCTGATCTTTTCTAGGTTGGTTGATCAATCGTTTATATGTTTAGCATCTTGTTTTGGGATGGTATTAATAGTTTTGCTTCCTCGTTCCCAATTTCCCTTGGGTATTGTTTAAAAAGTATTAATCATTTTTATGTTGTAATAAATATGATTTTTTTATTAAAAAAACTGGCTATATGATGAAAACACAAAAAATGGAGAGATTAATCAAATTTATACTTGAAATACTAATATTAATAAAATTCTAATACTCACACACATAAATATTTGGATGTTAGACAGCCTAATACACACTCCATTGGAAAAATTACGTAATCTATAAATGGAAGTTTTTCAATATCTTCAGGAAAAATTAAGTCGTTTTCTTTCTGGCTTAAGAGATGTTGATAGAAATCTTTATGTGTGCGTGTGTCTATTTGTCTCTCTTCAATCATATTTTAAGTCTTATGGATGACAAAAACACAGAATTGTGATCAATGTAGCATATATATTTGTATGGATAATATATTGACATTATATAGGTGAAGTCAAAGATCTGTAAGAATATTAAGTTTATGAATATAATGCTAAATTTAAAGGTAAATTAAAAATTTAAAAAGATTTAATGTTTTTTTAAAATTTAAACTCCTTTATTATTGTATCAGAACTTATGACACTACACTAGGTATAGTGGAATCTTGCTCTAACTACGTAATTCTTCGAATGAGTGAAAGTGAGTTTTTAGTTTCGGTATTGAGCTCGTTATTTGTGACCCTGTTTCAAAATTACGCATGTTTGACTGTTCAAGTAAAGTTTCAAGCAAATATTAGCAAAACAAAGCTGTTGATGAACGTCAATTGGTTAAAAGCCAGTCAAAAATTAAATAGTGGTCGATAGATGTATAATAATCAGATAGTTGACAGTTATAGGATATATTCGAAATTTGATAAACACATGACGGGGTTAGAGATTTTCAAACCAGATAAATATTTAACGTTTCTTATATATATGCATAATTAAAAATATATGTATATAGATACTGGTATGAAGCTGAAATCTGCCATTGTCCACCCATTCTTGCCAGCATCTTCTAATGGCCGCTTCACTTCGACCCATATGACTAACGATTCTCCGATTTGCCCAACCTGCCCCTATCAATCCAATGATACGACCCCTTTCAAACTCTGACAGTTGCTCATAATGAGCTCAAATCCTGCGGCGAGGCATTTTTTCAGTCGTTGAAAGGTATCCTAAATCGCAACGCAACGGAAATTTCGACCATGAGATTGAGAATCGCTTCTTATAGACACCTGCTGAGTGCACCTGCGATGCGCTTTAGCTCCCGCTATTCATTCATTGGACACTAAATTTTAATCATTTGCATGTTCGGTACAAATGTCTTTGCATACGAAATTTCATTACAATCGGGGAACTCCTTTTTGGTGCGTCATTTTTTTTGTTATAGAGTGTAGATAAACCAAAAGAAAAAATTAATTATGTGATAAACCGCTTCACTAAAATATCATAAATAACATATATTAGGAAACCTTCAACTGGAAAAAAATATTAGATAAGAATAAATAATATTGACAAATTAGATTCACACAAAATGAACTACCGATGCAAAGAAAAAATAAGAGTTTAGAAAAACTAGATACTAGAACGAATCCTTTGATGACCACACCCAATACTATTAAGGAATTATTCGGCTCCAGTTAATTCGAAATTAAAAAAAAAATAAACTGACAAATAGATGTTTGAAAATCTTTTTGATTCCTGACTCGAAAGAGTTCTTTTTCGACTTTATGTTGAGAAGAAAAGACCGCATCATTTGCATCCTGTTGCATAAGAAAGGGGTATGTTTTTACAAACAATTTAAAACATTAGAAAATCTAAGAGTTTTGACAAGAGTTTCATTATCGATTTCTGCATTAGAATCGCTATCCATTGGTCCTGACAAATCAACAATTCCCTTAACTTCAGTTGCACAGATTGGCAATCCGTCATCAAATGAAAATCTAAAAAAATCCCCTGCGTTGTGAATTCAGATGAGATAAAAAAGGAATTTTCTGCCCTATTCAAAACTCCCACGACAGGTTACACTCATGGCTCATCTGCACCCGTAAAGCCTAATAATGGTCATCACCCTTTCTCGTCGAAATTTGCTGCTTACTTCATTTTGTTAAAACATATATTAAATTAGGATTTACTTATTCTATATCTAATCTAAGAGAATTATTTCCTACTTCTGAAGACACATATAAGTTTAATTTTGTGAACAAGCCACATTATTTTACAATATTTCTATATGTATGCTTTTTCTTCCTACAATTTTTAAAAATATATATTTTTTATTTTTGAAAATAATTCGTTTTTAAGCTTACACATTTTCAATTTCTTTCAAACCCGATATAGAATCAGAACAAAAATCCTTTTTCTTCTTTCTTTTCATTACATGAAATGAAGTTTAGATATTTGAATTTTTTTATGGTACATAGAAAGTTTAAGTGAGTAAGTGAGAAATATTAACGTCTCTTTATACAGCTACACGAGGGGTATTGGGTAACGGACCTTGTAATTGTGAGCCTCGGTCAAGTGACGAAGATGACACCTAAACTGGCACACCTCCTCTCTTAACTTCCACGGTACACCAACAGAAAGATGTCTTAGCCTCGACAGATTTAACAGGCATCGACACCTTCTGCACATCGAGTCCTCAGCGGCACTAGGCTCGAGCTCATGACATGCTAGCGACGAGCTCGTGATCTTAACCACTAGGCTACCGTGGCCACGGCAAAACGTCAATGTAATATTTGTTGAAGAAAAACAGGTCATTCAGTAATTTTTAACATGTATTGCGATGAGAAATCACATACTAAATAGTTACAAGAAAAAAAATACACATCAGATACATTTAACGTTGTTTGTTTAGAATTAAATTTAAAAAAAAAAGACTTTACTACCAATTCTCTTCCACATCAAAGTACTTTTGAAAAGATTTGTTAAAGACAATACACACAAGAAGAATGGTTTATAGAGCAGGGGTCGGCAACATATGGCACGCGGTACAATGCTCAGTAACACTCTGCACTATTCTACAAATGTGTCAATTTTTAGCGGATGGAAGTTGATAAATTTGTAATGGACCTTATTTGACAAACATCACCAGAATTATGGACATTTATGGAATTACGATAAATTCTGAAAGATAACTCTGAAGATAAATTTACAGCTATTTTGTAAATGATTGAATGTCATTGCTGGAGAGATTTAATTGTTTGAAGAGAGAACATTACTCTGTTTTCCGCTTTCGGGTCTTCATATCAAAGTAAAATATGTTTCCTCATATGAAAAATGTTTCGAGTCCGCAAAGAAATTGTTTCACAGCTGAATACTCAAAATCACGTCAAATTAAAAGTCACAAATTATATCCCTAATTTAGCGATATGAAAAAAGAGCGGTGCAAGCACTAGGTTCGCACATTACAATTTTTATTTATTTTTTTTATTTAACTCTAATGAAGGAAGTACTTATATTTTATGTTGTCTATTTCTTATTTTAATAAATATTTCAAAAAACATAATGTATGTACATTTTGAATTTTTTTTTATATTTTTGTAGAAAAAAATAGTTATATTTTGTGCTGTTTATTTTTATGTTAAGAAATATCTTTAAATGATGCAAAAATAATACCTAACGAAACTGTAAATCTCTATATTATTGACCTCTATTCTCTAACTCTGCATGCATTATTGAGGGAATCGAATTGTTTCAGAAATGTTCTACTGTGCAGCACGCTGAATAGTGTTGGTAGATTGGTTTGGATCACAGCTATAAGGTTGCTGACCCCTGCTGTAGTACCTCTTTTTCGTATAGGTAGATTCCTATTAATTACGTAGTAATTTTTTTCTTCATATAACCGCGATTCACCCTACAACATGTTCTAAGAGTCTTATCTCTTTTTCCTATTTTTAATGCCGTATTTTGGAAGATAAATGTCTAAATTATGAAAACAATCAAACAAGTAGAGCTGTAAATCTACAGAAAAACCACAAGAAGAGTGGATAGTATATTTAATTTTGAATCATTTTATGTACTATATGAGAATTTTATGGTTGATCGACTGGTGTATTGATTACGCATATTTGTTAGTGACTTGTAAATTAATATTAACTGTTGATTGAAAATGTTTATTATCATTTCCCTAGCTAAAGTTTTTCCAGTATTTGTTTAAACATGTAATATAAGAAAAAATTAAGTCAATTCCTATTTAGGTCAGCAAAAGAAAAATTTATTTTAGTTACTTTTTATTAAATGGTTATAATTAATATAAAAAAATATGTATGTACATATAACCGAATCACAATATTAAGTGACAAAATAAAAAGCGATTTTACTTTCTATATATGGTGTTGGACTATTTTGTTTGTTTATTACTATTTATTCATTAATTCAACTTAATTATTCTAATAAAATAGTATAGTACAAAAGGTCACATTCTCAGAAATTAGGCCATCCCGGATGGAATTCAAACCCATGCCCTTTGGATTAGAAGTCGAATGAGCTATCTATTGCGCTACCGGGATACTACGAACGATTGTCCTTTCTTTATATGCTGTTGTCCTGTTATTTTTGTTTGTTACTATTTATTCATTTTTTAATTTAATTAATGAATTAATATTTGAAAAAAACTACATTAACATCAATTGTCATCCACTACAAGTTTAAAAAAATGTATTTGAACTTTAATAGATAGATAGAAATATTTTATGAACGATTGAAAATTTGAAAAAGTTATATATATAAATAAATAAATATATATATATATAGGGAGAGAGTGATCTAATAGTAGGAATTGAAAAATAAATTGTATAATTGCTTGAGAAATTAGAAATTTAATGCAGTTTTATTTATAGAATTCTTTTTTGTATATTCAAAATAAAAATGAACTGAAATTCGCCATTATGTTTGTATTAATTTTAAATCTTTGACAAACGAAGTGAAAGATAAAAGTGAATTTTCAAATTTGCTTTTCGAAAAGAAAACTTTAAACTGTTTTTCCTGCTAAAAAAACGAGAGAGAGAAAAAAGAAATTTATTCCCCATTCGACATGTTGAAGAAAAAAAAAACTAACTGAATTAAAATAGCTTCGCATTTCGTATGCATTAAAAATTCTGAATAAGAAAAACTTACAAAAAAAAATGTAGAAATAAATAAAAAGATAATCCGAATTCTTTTTTGATATTGACAGAATTTTTACTGAGAGAGAAATTCCACAACTTATTCTAGTCAGGAGTCTTAACTTATTTCTAGGAGATCCTATCTCGCTTTTTGAAGTGAGAAAAAGGTGCGAGAAATGTTTTATTTTCCAGTTTTCTCGGTATTCCACGTGATGCCTGGAACAAGAATGGACAAGTTTTGAAGAAGGCATCATGTACGGTTTGAATAGCTGTCGCTGAGAATGTTTGGAATTGACAGGACCATTATGCGATTGTCGAATTTTTTTTGCTTTTTGGGTGCTGTGTTCTGCTGCCACTCAAATGGGAAATGTAATGTGCGGTGTTTGAGTCAAAAACCTTTTAGGGTTCATCGGATATTTTTGATTGAAATTCCTCTTACAAGCAGCGGGGATGGTTTTTAAGCTTTGTAATGTTTTTCTTTTCTTTTTCTTTTTCTTTTTTTGAAATTGAAAACAATACATTTTGTATTACAGAATTCTGGTAATTGATTACAGTTTCACTTATTTAGGTTCAGAAATTAAGGTATGCGAATACGTTGGGAACCGTGATTTTGCAAAAGCGCATAAATGGATAATTTTAATGATATTTAGTGTCACTTATATTAGAATATATGTATACAATTGTTTTAAGGACATTTTGACAAAAAAAAAATTTTAATACAATATTTTGGCAAAAAATTAACTTAGAAT